TTTTGGGCCACAGCTCCCAGCATTTCTTTCAATTGTTTATATAGGCTGCGGTTGGTGGGAGTTGGGAGTGCAAAAATCAGGAAGGCAGCAGATTGGAGAAGACATATAATATATAATATGCCAAATATATGCTTTACCATTTTGGTCATATATTGAGGCTTTTTTGGGGGGGATACAGCTGGGTCTGTGGGATATGTATTTTCATTTCTGCTTGTCTTAACTGTACGAACTTCCTTGAGTGAACTTAAGTGGATGAATGTGAATAGATGTCTCAAAAGCAGGTGGAAATTGCTCTTTGTTATGCCCAGTTTACATCACCAGATTATCAAAGATGTTAAGAAAGGAGTTGTCATAAACCTTTTTGGTTACGGAGATGACTACCCTTTTAAAATTGGCCTGTTGACAATGCCAATGTTTACTCAACGCTTCTTCATTTGGTTCTGTTTCCTCTTCCAATCCTAATTATTGCCACTTTGCCAAAAGTTCTTCAAGAAAATCATTGAGGAGGGAGACATTATCAAAGGACTCAAAGGGACCATGAGCTCATGCTTACTTGATTGTGAATTGTTGATGGAAAGGAAAAATAGAAAGGATCCCCATAAACTGAATACTGGAGCAGATGCTGTGCTTTTACTGGAAGATTTCTCTTTAGAAGAGTAACAAGAATACACATGAAAAAGTGAAGGACAGGAATAGTTTGAGCTTCTAATCTGGGACGATTGATTCAGGAGAGATGGCTGAGGGTCCACCCACTCAAGAATAAGAGATCTCTGCGTTAAAGTTGGAAGCAAAACTATCCCTCAAGCGCCCAAGAACACCGATGCATTAAAAAGCAGGCCAGAACTCTCAGTCTCACAAGTTATCAGCTGCAGTAGAGGACTCTTCATGACTAAAGAGCTTCCTGTGCATAGCAGTCTCCTCATGAGGAGGCCTGTTTCAAAAGCATCTAACACATTGCCCCCAATCTTGGGTAAGCTCTAGCAGTTCCTGCTTAAAAGTTTTGGTGTTTAGAAAGGCTAGCTGGCTGGGTAGCTCAGTGGTTTAGGTATCCAGCTGCAGAGCCATAGATTAGGAGTTCAATTCCCCACTGAGCCTCCAGGGAGAAGAGCCAGCCCATGTAGCCTTGGGCAAGCTGCCCAGTCCCAGGGTGCACCTAGAAGAAGGGAAGGGTAAACTACTTCTAAGTATTCTCTACCTGGAAAATCCTGATAAGAGTCTCCAGAAGCCAGAATTACCTTGACAGCTTATTATGATTGCTGGAACAATGTTATATACTACCTCTGAACAGCTCACTCTGTATGCGATCTTATACTGCCATTGTCTACACTTTCTACTTGTTGCTGTGTTCCTGTTTTATGCTGAAATCCTGCTTGGGCTGCTTCTGACTTTATTTCTTGTTTATTTTTTGTTACACTGCACTCTGAGACCTTCATTACATTTGACCCTGGATGGTGTCTGGCATCTGCTACTGGATTTGCTGTTATAGCTAGGCTTGCATTCAGCCATTATCAGTCTAGTTCCTTGAACTCTTTTGACTATTTATTGAATTTATTTACTTTACTCCCAGAGCCCTTCTGTCTTTGCATTGTCAGGACAGAGCAGCAGTGTTAATGTCTTTTTCCTGCACAGTTTTTGGCATGCTGACAGTATTAGCCAGTGTTAAAAGGCACAAGAATATTAAAGTAGCTTGGAGGAGATCACTGGCCTATAAAATGAAAACAAATGAGCTTGACAAAAGCATGTCAAAGTTTGACCTTTTTTTCTAACAAATGCGGTAGAGTTCTGTACCAATATATCTGCTAGTCTATAATTAGTCTTCTGTTTATGGTAGAATTTTATATCAATGTATTAGCTATAGTCTGCAATTTCCAATGACAGATGTCATGTTACATTTGCATAACCTGAATTATTCTTAGCCTTTCACACTCCCTCACTTGTTATGATTCAGTCCCCCTTTCCCTGGGTTTCTGGCCTACAACTGTTTACTGTTTCATCTGAGTCATTTGCCCTTGTCCCACAAACCTGCATTGTGGTTAAGGTTTTCATCCTTATTGTAAGAGAAAAGCAGTTTGCCAGTTTGTGTAATGGTAAACTATGTTCTGCTTGTAGATTATGAAAGGAAGGAATGTGTTGCAGCACCAAAAGAAATACCAATTAATGTCATGCCATGTCATTGTCTCATGTTTCACCATGACAGAGCCAAGCTTCTGATAAGCAGTTCAGATCCTTATTATGATATAATTCATACAAGTAATGGAAAGCCCCTTATTTTCCCATTTCTCTAGATTCTGATTTCTTTGGTTTCCTGTTTGATATTTTTCTCTGAAATTATTTTCAACAACCCATTTCATCTGAGAATTCAAGAGGAACAAAAATGTTTGTTTCCAGTAACACACTTATTGTAAATTACAATGAACATGTGTTTTTTTGGTGGGACAGTGTTGCTCTCTATGAATGTTGCCACATTTATTTGGACAGGAAATCCCAAGAAGTGTTCGTCATTACCAGCCATGTTCACTGTCAGGAGTCACAACTAGCCACTGTGGATTTATTCTTAATGCTGACCTTCACCTTATTTTGCACAGCGGATACTGCTATGGTATTTTTCACTGTATAGACAATGATGATTGGAAAAATAGAAGGCAGTAGGAAAAGAGGTGAGATGGATTGACTGAACAAAGGAGGTCAAAGCCTTGAGTTTTCAAGGCTTGAGCAATGTTATTAATTATAAAACCTTTAATGGGTAACTAATTCATAGACTTGCCATAAATCAGAACTGACTTTACAATATATAGGAACAAGAACAACGTTTTTAATATACTCTTGAGAATGTGATCAGATGGCTGCAAAGGCACAGTCTCCCTTAAAGCAAGCCTTCTATCTGCAGGGAGATTGCTCCAACCTGGCTTCAAAATGTAAAAGTACTACAACACAAAACAAAAAAGTCTAGCTTAGTCAGGCTGGAGCTCATATTTCTGTGCATTCTGTGATTGCTGGGAAATCAAATCAAAAATTGGTCCATATTGTGATTTATTTTTCTATGTGATAACACCCTGAGTTATAAGAATAGAATGGGTTAGAGGACGCAAATTGGGCACAAGGACAAAGATAAGAGTCTGATTATATTTAGAGCCTACCAGACCTTATCTCCAAGAACTCAGGAGCTGGTCCGGAAGTCTCTGCCCCCGCATGCACGTTGAAGTTCCCCAAAACCAACAGCTACGGGGAACCCAACAGTGCCGCGGAGACAAAGTCCACCAGCTCCGGTAGGGAAATGGCTGGGTCGCGGGGAGCACGGTAGCCCAGCAAGATCCCAATACCGTCCCTGGCCCCAATCGACACGTGGAGAGCCTCCAGACCCGGCTTTACCACCAAGGAGCGCCTAGTAACCTCCAAGATGGATTTGTAAACAATGGTTGGAAAGTAATTATCCCAACTCTGCTGGCAAACATAGAATGTTTAATCATCTCTGCTTTACAGTCCCATAACCCAGGTATTACCTTACTGAAAGCAATGATAATTTCCACTTGTACAAGGCATTAGTGGATTTTACTCTTGCACAAATAGTGGGGAAAGAGGAACTGCACACAGAATGGTCTGTTCTATGTGCAGTTGATAAGCACCAGGACACTCAAGAATATGTGTGAGTGCGTTGTATGTGTACGAAAAAGAGACAGACATACAGATTTTCTGCATTTCCCATTAAGAGACTACTATGGATTAAATATACAATATGTGGTCAGCTAGGGCATTTTTCTGGCCCCAAGGACATGTTAAACTCCCATGTTAAAAACAAATAAGCAGACACAAAAGCGAAGTAAAAAATTCCTATTTCCACCCTGGATGTTCGTTGGGTATGGGGCTGGGGGAGTGTTGTTCCCTTAAGCCCTTTCCCATCAAATAACACAGAGGTCTTTGCATGGTCACCTTTTCTTTCTTTCTTAGAAAGAAAGAAGGTTAAAAATAAGCATCTCTGGTCCTGCTGCAGCCCATGGCACGGACTGGAGTGATTGTGACTCTCAAGCCATATAGACTGCCCACTCATGATTTAACACCGCCACACACAAGACCTCTTCCTCCTCCAGCATTGCTTGCGCTGAGACTGTTGTCCTTCTCAGATACATACAACAAATCCCTGGCAACTCTGTTCACCTTTGTCCTAACATCCTGCTTGTGCCTTCTCAGCAGCTTGGACAGTACTGTACTTGCTTTATGAGCTGATGCTCACTTTCCCTTTTGTATCCTAGAAGAGATGTCTCCAGTGCAACGTGCACATTTCTCTCAACAATGAAGAATGAATGATATTTTGCTTTGCATTTTCCAGCAAAATTCAATCAGGAGCAGGAGCCTGCTTCAGTGTAATTTGGTAGGGAAAGTAGCAATTTAAACTGTGCTTATGTTTGCAAGTACAAACATTAGATGCATGAGAGTGGCAAGAGAGTTCTCCATTCTGCTAGACCTACTTAGGCATGGCATCTTCTACCACATTCAAATACTGTAATGGCATTCTCTCCAGTCTGTGTGATCGCAGCATATTATTTTGTACAAAGATTCTACTTTTCCCTGGAGACAGTACCTAATAAAACTTCTTTGCAAAACTTGTCCTTATATAGTTTTCCCCAGAGTTCTCATCCAGATCAAGGTGGGTGACCACAAACACTGACAGGCAGCAAGCTCTAGTGGAGTAGCCATGTTTGGTGGGTACAGCAAAATACGTAAGTAGTCTCAAGGCTTTTCTAAAGACTAGCAATTTTTTTAACTGTGTGGACTCTGAGGGACTAGATTTGGGTGCTATGGTGTACAGTAGTCTGCAGTTTCTGCTGATGTATGTTGACTGGTTTTTAAGGTGTTATGAAAATCTGGGTGTTGTTGATAAGAAAGGAAACGAAGACCTCCCAGGGCAGCACTCACGTACCCCGCACTGTTTCCTTCCTCTCATTTCCCTTCTTCTTGGCTGCTTCCCATTTTCAAGTGACTTGCACAACCGTGTTGTATGCAACTGCTGAGATCAGGGTGGGGGTGGCTGGGTGAAGACACAGCTTGCAACTTGCTCTGTGATCCATGTGACAGCAGTTTCCGTTAGTTCCTTCCGCAAGTTCTAAATTAATCTGACGTTAAGTGAGAGCAAACTGCTAATTTTATTATTTATTCATTTGTTTACTTTAAAAGTAACCTGTAGACCAGAGGACAGGCCCTGGTGCAGAATGACCCTCCCAATGCTGAGCATGTCGCTCCAACTGGTGAGTAAGAAACCTGAAATTTGTCTCCATACTTTGCTATGTGAAAGGGACGCAGATGATAAGTAAAGGGAACCATTCAACCATTGCTGCTTTAGTCGGACCTTCTGTGCTGTAAAAGGCACCTTCCAGTATACAGCTGAGTTATATATGGAAGAGTTAATTCTGTGCCATGTGGTTAGTCCTATACCATGTGGTTCTTGGAAATAACATGTCGCGTGAGTGATACTCAGAGAGCAGGAGACAAAGCAGGATAGGGAACGGTTACTGACAACTGGAAAATTCAGACTTTGAAGGATAATTTACTCTGGGGAAATAAATGCTCATCTTCTTTGAACAGTTATATGGGTGGAGTGTATAAGGACAAAATGAGAAGGCAGAAGAGCACATGGTGATTGAGATCTGCAGTGCTAAACTATAATTTCAAAGAAAAAGGAAATGAACTAAGGAAGATCTCAGGCTAAATAGCCACTCTAGTCATTGACAGAGAAAATATGAAGAGATGCTCTGATGGTCCTTTGTAATATGCTGATATGGTTTAAAAGAGAAGACTGAATGCCCCATTTCACTCTCATGCCCTGAAATAATCTCATAAATAAAATAAATGAATAAAATAAAAATGGGGGGGGGTAGCTGTGTTACTCTATTGTAACAAAAATAATAAAAGAGTTTTGTGGCATCTTAAAGACTAATTTTAGTTGGCATAAATTCACAGTAGGATTGTGATTCCTGCTTAATAATTACAACAGTACAATTACTACTCTTCCCCTCCCCCACTTAAATTAAGTTGTTAAATGAGGAAAGGGGGGGAGATAATCAGGAATGGACTTTCCTGTGAAAAGACTCTAAGCTCAGTTTTTGATGATGATGATGATGATGATGATGATGATGATGATGATGATGATGATGATGATGATGATGATGATGATGATGATGATGATGATGTACCATCAGGTCAATTCTGACTTAAGGGGATTCTTTCCAGAGTTTTCAAGGTACAGACTACTCAGAAGTGGTTTGTCACTGCCTTCTTTTGTGGCCACTCTGGGACCCTGCAGCTTCCCCAAGGCCACACAGGCTAGCTCTTTTCCTGAGTGGTATAGTGGGGAATCCACAAAGCAATTCCTAACTCTCAGAGGGCAACTGCATTGGCTATTTATCCCCACGGTTTGCATTGTATTTGGTACAGATAAAACTGAAGTAAAAATTGGGACTATATAGTATAAAGCTAACTACAGGGAAGCCTGGTGTTTTTCACTGTTGAATCATCTCTTTTTGTTCGGCTGGCAAATGTTCGTTCATTGTGGTCTGATTTGACTGGATCACTTTCCTCTATTTTCTGACATGTGTGGTTGCCTGATCCAAAGAAGTGGTCGCAGGAGTGTCAGTGGGTACCTGTTGTCACCCCACTTCAGAACGGTTTTTCTATTTTTTTAAAGAACATATTGTTATGCTTGCCAAATGTGGTGTCACACCAGATAACCACTATGTTGCTTTTGAAAAATTAAAATTTAAAAGCTGAGAAAGCAAAGAGGTGGTCCCAGTGAAAATTGCCAGTTTTCTCTCTTTGCCCCTGTGGACTTCAGCCATACGATAACTGAATGTATTTGTGTGGGTAGCTGCAGCGATTTCACTCGCGGAAAACTGGATGTTACAACATTTCACAATAAATTGGCGGGCCCAGGGCAAAATTCATGAGAGGTTGCAACTGAAAGTGAAGAGCAATGTTTTCAACAACGTCTTGAAGGTAGGTAGGGAGAGGACCGGGCATAGTTCAATCAGGACCTGGTTCGAGAGAATTTGTGCCACCGCTGAGAAGATTCAACTTCTAGCTGATGTTTTCCTGGCCTTCTTTAGCATGACCACCTGGAGGAGCATTGCTTGGTTGGCTCTGGTGGCACAGGTGGATGATCTTGGGGAAATTTCACCCTGACATAGTGTTTATCTGGTACATTGCTACCTTTGGCAAGCATTTTTTTTAAAAAAATAGAAACAACCATTTGAGGAGGGGAGACAACAGGCACTCAGTTGAGGGGAACTGATGTAATAGTATACCCACTGACCTCCCAGTGACCACCCGTTTGCATCACATCAGGTGATCACACATACCAGAAGGTGGGAAAAAGCAATATCAGCCAATTCAAGGCAAAATAAGCCACCCCTTGCCAGAAAGAGATAGAAAAAAGAGGCAAACTTGGTGGGTTTCTCTGTAGTTAAATTTACAGTGGAAAATAATTTGTAATAATTGGATTGGGGGATTATTTATGCCAAATCTGATGCAAACTGTGGAGTAAGCAGCCAATGTAGTCACCCTCTTAGATACTGAAAACAAATTCCTAAAGAGTTTATGCTCAGAAGGTCCCTGTTGTTTCATTCTATGTGTACCTTGTACTTGGCTGTAGTTAAGGTAAAGGTAAAGGTTCCCATTGACATTTTTAGTCCAGTCGTGTCTGACTCTAGGGGGCGTGCTCATCCCGTTTTCAAGCCGTAGAGCCACTGCCTGTCCGAATACAGTTTCTGTTGTCACGTGGCCAGCGTGACTAGGGAACGCCGTTTTACCTTCCCACCGAGATGGTACCTATTTATCTACTCGCATTTGCATGCTTTTGAACTGCTAGGTTGGCGAGGAGCTGGGACAAAGTGATGGGAGCTCACTCCGTCGTGTGGATTCGAACTTATGACTGCTGGTCTTCTGACCCTGCAGCACACAAAGGCTTCTGCAGTTTAGCCCGCAGAGCCACCAGGTCCCATGTTGGCAGTAGTTAGTGGATCCTAAAACATAAGAACAAGATAGTACTTAATGCTTGGATTCTACTTATCCTTGGCAGGAGAACATCAGATGTGGGAAAAGCATGTGCATTACATAAGAATATTGAAGAGTCAGAGCTTGATGTGGGGTTGGCTTCTGGAGAATGTTTGACAGCAAACACTTCTTTATCTTAAATGAGTTGTAATTTAGATTGTATGCTTTCTAGCAGGTGCCTAGTTTTTTCTGAAATACCGAAATGCTATGGCCAGAATCCTGTTGGTATTTACATAAGATATGCAAAGCTTACAGATAATTGCAGCTAATTGACAAGGAACCAGTCTGCATCTTGCTCACAAGTCTGGTGTAAGACCCAGTTCCCATAAGTGAGATTCATCTGGGCATGTAACCAATTAGCTGCAGTTGGCCACAGCAAGTCATACAAATCTTATAAAAACACTGTTAAAATTCTGGCCTATAAAACATAGATAAGAAAATATAGAATACACTTAACTGACTTTTTTCTCTGCTCTTTCTCTTATCACAGGGGTTGTGCTGTTGAAATGGCGCTAGTAGCTCTGAGTATTTCCCTGTGTATAGCTATCCTCGATACAGGATGTGGAACCAAACCTTCAGACTTTCACAGTCTCTGTAAACTAGTGAGTGTTCTGGAATTTCTAAACAGCTTATTTCTACACTGGGTTTTCTAAAACAAAAAGTGAGGGAGAGAAATTCAGTTTGAGGTATTGACCTTAGTGGTAGTCGTAACTATGCCAGCATTTTAATCCCACATTGGCATTTGACCCAAGTGTTATCAACTCCAAGGGTCCAGAAATAACAAGATAATCTCACTAACCTTGAGTGTTTATATCATACTATTTGCTTCTTCATTTTAAGGGACCTTTTGAAGTATTTTAGGATCCATCCAGATGGGTATATATAGCACTTTTTAGATCACTGTTGGTACACTTTGGAGAGAACCAAATTGTGGCATCCATGCGTGTTTCAGATTGATACATCCTGCCCCTTTAAGAGCTGCCCTGGTCCTTTCCGGCACAACACTAGGGCCTTCTGCTTTTTGGTATGATTCAGCACACTCCTAATTATCCCATTGTGTAGCTCATGCAGATGGCTAGTTCTCACCCGAATGGAGCTGTAGGTGGAAATAACTGAGAAGACAGATGTTGTACTATATAGGCTGTTTGTTTGATACAGTACAGCAAAATTAATAACTTCTTATGGCAATATTATTTGTGGTAATTTGCACACAAGTATCTTTAAGACCTGTACATGCATTACTCATGCAAAGTTTGCTCATATGACAATGTAGGAGCAGGTCTCTTCTCTTGGTCCTACTTACATCCCCACATCCCCACATGGCCCAATGTTCTGACAGCCTGCAAAGAAAACCATAGAAATGAATAGTTCTTTGTACCAAGGAACTCCCCACCAATAGAATCCAATTAGGCATTTTGCCCACTGTTCTTGATCTTGTTTGGTTTAGCAATCAAACAGTGTACCTTCTCCTATTCCATGTATCTGTTTCTTGCTGCAGGAAGAGAAAACTGTACACTGCAATGGGAAGAGGCTGATCTCCATCCCACAAGACTTACCTGCTGGAACAGAGAAACTCTTCCTGGATGGCAATCTTATGCAAACACTAAAGAATGCAACTTTAGAGCAGTATCAAGTTCTGCAGAGTCTCAGTCTATGCAAGAATGGACTGGAGACAATTGAACCCGGAGCTTTCCTTGGCAGCACAACTCTCACTGTTTTGTTGGTGGCTGACAATGACCTCTCCACAAACTATTCTGTGACAGCAACTGCTCTGTGGACTTTGCTTGTCCTACAGAAACTGGACCTATCTGGAAACCAGCTCACTGAGGCCATGATGAGCACCTTGATAGAGCATTTGTCTTCTCTAGAATCTTTGTCTATGGCCAGGAATGCTATAATGAGGCTGGATGACTCCCACTTCAAAAACCTGCCCAAACTGCAGCACCTGGATTTACAGCAGAACTACATCTTTGAGATTGAGACTGGTGCTTTTGAAGGTGTGTCAGGGCTGCAGACGCTGAATCTGGCCTACAACTACATCCCTTGCATTGTGGAGTTTGATCTGACCCAACTCCAAATTTTAAATGTTAGCCACAATCACATTGAGTGGTTTTTGGCTGTCGAAAATGATGCTGTCTTTGAACTAGAAACACTAGACCTTTCCCACAACCAACTTCTATTCTTCCCACTGTTGCCCAGGGTAAATAAATTGCAAACTCTGCTGCTGACACACAATAAAATGAACTTCTATGGAAATTTTTCCAACCATTCAGAGAGCTCTGTGCAACTGCTCTTTCTGGATGGCAACGTCACCAACATCACCACTCATGAACTGTGGGAAGAAATGAGCCATAGCAACCTTTCTTTCTTGACATTTCTAGATATGAGCTGGAACCAGCTCTGGTATCTGCCAGATAGTTTTTTTGAAGGGATGGTTTCCCTTGCCCACTTAAACATGAGTCACAATTGCTTAACAACATTGTGCATACATGAGAAAGAACTACTGAAGACCCTCGTAGACCTGGATCTCAGCTATAACCAGCTTTTAGATATACAGGTGAACTTTGGTCCTGAAGTTAGCTTACTCAGCCTCCAAAGATTCAATCTAAATAACAACAGACTTCATGGTTTGCCTGCTAAAATCTTTACTCACACAAAAAATATTGCTACAATTAACCTCAGTAAGAATCCAATAGAGATTTGTACACCACACGGTGCTGGAAGCTCCAGCTGTGTAGATATCAGCAATGTTGCCTCCATAAGGAACCTTTTCTTGGCTGGTTGTGACTTACATGAGCTGGGCAACGACATCTTTCAAGGGACCTCATTAGCATACTTAGACCTATCTAACAACCCCAGGGCACTCCTCAATGGCTTAGGACCTCTGGAAGATGTTGCACAATCCCTGCAGGTGCTCTCTGTCCGGGACACCGGCCTCTCTGCCGCAAGAACAGAGATGGACTTTTCTGCTTTTCAGATGCTTGTGGAGTTGGATCTCTCTGAAAACTCTCTGACCAGCTTCCCTGAATCTTTAATAGATCTGAAACTGCATACTTTGGATCTCAGGAGAAATCATCTCCACTCCCTACCTCAGCATGCTATGCAAAAACAACTTGGAAAGAGCTTGCATACAATCTACCTCAGCCAGAATCCCTATGACTGCTGCAAACTCAGGTGGTGGGACACTCTCTGCAACCTTGGCACTGTCCACATTGCAGACATGAGTAAAGTCACTTGTAACCATTCCTCCAGATTTATCAATGCAGCAAATCTGCCTGAATACGTCCTACAAAATTGCAGTTGGCTAGCACCAGATATGACTTTGCTGTATCTGGTGCTTGCATTTCCTACCTGCTTGGCTCTATTGGTTGCCTCTGCTATCATCTTTCTAACTTTTAGGCAACCAATTCTTCAAATGGTAAAGAGCAGGTACAGAACATCCAGTCCGTATTGACTCTGTCTCTCTCTGTGGTGTGGAAATGGAGAGAAAAGCACAATACTGAACGTCAGGAATGGGGCTTAGCCAGGGTGGTGAAAAAGTTGGAACACCTTGCAGGTGTTGTAGCTACAGGTATGGTTCCAGCAAGCTGCTATGTTTGGTGAGGCATCATAAGGAGCTGCCCAGCTAGTTTAGTAAACTCTTGTTAATATCTTTGGCAGAGATGGAAGAGCATGCAAATTCTGTGCAGAGATACATGCCAGTAATAAAGTTGCAATGCACAACAGGAAAAAAGTGCACCTACAAAGATAAGAGCATAAGATGACTTTTCCTGGGAATCAAATACATTTGAACACATACATCTGTATGAAACTTTGCGTGTTGGGCAAGCAAAAATTTATTTTTCCCCTAGACGGATCCGCTCTCCCGCCCATATGTAGGGTTGTTCGCACAGTAAATGAAAGATTAACTGGGCAGATCAAATAGTAGAAAGGATGTAGTGGTTTTTGTTTATGTAGGTAATGTGTTAAGGCTGTTATAGCACTACTGGTTGCTTCATGATTTCTTAACATGGGGAAGCCAGAGGAAGAATTATAATGCATGCACTGTTGATTTTATATAAGGAACGGTGTTGTGTGCAAAGTCCAAATGCATAATACAGATTGGAATATAGTGGGCCATATTACAGAGGTGATCATAGTCTTGAATTTGTCCATTGAAAAGCTAACCTCAAATGTTCTCACTGCTGCTGGTTCATCAGCCAGAAGTGTCAGGGTTACGCTAAAAAAAGAAAAAAAAAGAGCACATATGACCGGGAGAAGAATCTGGACTCTTGCTTTCCCTGGCCAGGCTGCATTCTGCCACTTTTCAGGGGTTTCTTTACAGACTGGATCCAATGTCAGAAGTGAGCTAGCCAAGAAAACATGGATTTACACTAACAGAGTGTAGCCAAGCAAGACAGTGAGGTGGATTCTGGTGCCTTTCCTTGTGTGCTTCTTTTTATTTAAAGCAGGAATGAGGAGTGTGTGGCCTTTGACTTTTAACTACCATAATTTTTCACAAACAGCTATGCTGTTTTGAGCTGATGGGAGTTGCCCTTTCCCTTTTTTTAATTTTTATTTTTTGAAAAAAAAACATTTCCTAGGGCATTCCCCCCGGTTAAGGGTATGAGGAAAGGAACTGAAATCTGTGGTTTCGTAGAAGCCAAAAGAATTGAATGGAGAACCTTGCCAGTAAAGCATCTGCCCATTTCACAGCACAGTTTCTCAGCCTCACACTCATTTTTCCTCAGTGCTCTTTTACTGTCCAGTGAACCATATAGGCTTTTTCCACTGAAAGGTTAAAATGTCTTTGTTGTTCTTTAGTCATGTCCAACTCTTCGTGACCCCATTTGCTAAAAATGTCTAGCAACACCAATTGCTGGGGAAGGCATAGGATAAAGCTTCATGTTCTTCAATCCATTCCTTTAATATATCCAAACATCTTTCTTAAAAGAAACTAATGGCCAACTATAGCAGTGGTTCTTAACGTGGGCAATAATGCCGCCCAGGGGGCGATTTCATTTTTCAGGGGAGCGATAGAACGAAAAGGGGTGGCATGGGGGCAAAGGAAAAAGGGGGGCGTGAAATTTGAGTCACCAGTCACCACTGGAGCCTTGTATACAGCTTGAGCTCACTGAAGGGAAGACAGGCTATATATGTAATAAGCACATTTAATGCAGCAAAGGCACTGCAGATGCTCACAGATTTTCTCTTTCTCATTCTTTCAGCAAATGGGTAAGATATCATCACCTCAGGGAGGGGGGCGATGATAACTTCCTCAATGGCTCAAGGGGGCGTTTCTTTCAAAAAGGTTAAGAACCACTGAACTATAGATATAGTGGAAGCTCTGAACTTTTATCAATGTAATATCTTTAATTAGCTGCAAGTATTATTTTTAAGTGTGTCCCAATGACAGATATGTGAACTGTTCAGTGGAATACTCCATGCTATCCACTGTGGAGGAATAGATTGTCATCTTGCCTAATGAATGAAGAGAGAAAGGGTGTTTAAAGAAATCCTGAATTATTTGGGGCATAATGTTTGAATGAGGGGGAAAGTGAATTTAGAAGATGGAGATTAGGAGAAAAGAGGCACACACACCCCTTTTACTGATGTGCATAAGACTCACAAAAATTATATGCTGGTTTGGAACAACATTATATAATCTTTTGTTTCACTAAGTAATTTCTTTGGACCTTTCCCTGGAAGCCATTTTCTCTCTTTTTAGTCTCTAGTGTTGTTGCTGATTTATTTTTTTTAATTGCTCTATAAATGATGAAGTAACATATATTAAATGTCTGGAATGAATGCAGCAAACTGTATTGTAAATGTGACACAGCCAAGAAGCACATGACAGCTTTGTTAATTTGGGGATATCAAACAGGATGGTATGATCGTATATGAGATATGCCACTTATCATGTACACGCCATCAGTCCAGAAGAAACGTCAACTTACCACAGGTACCCACCAGATCTGATTGCTTATAACATCATAAATGTTGCTGTCAGAATGGAGTGAGGTGAAAACATCTGTTGTACAGAAGGTGAAAACTTTGCTTGTGAGGAGAATTATTTAAGAATATCAGTTTTAAATACTTGATTTGTGTATATGTTTTCTCCTGGAGACATATATGAGGCAAGACATGTCATTGAGGTGGTGCTGTAGGATGGGTACAGTCTCATTATATCACAAGAAACTGCCATTACATAGAATAATAATATCAGTGACCCTTTTCTGGGTTTTCCAGGTAGATAATACTCAGTGGTTGTTTACCATTCCCTTCTTTTGAGGATATCCTAGGACTGTGCAGCTTGCCCAAGGCCACACAGGCTTGCTCTACTCTACTCTCTGGAGGCACAGGCAGAATCAAACTCCCAACCTCTGACTAGAATAATGGAGTTGGAAGGGGCCTATAAGGCCATTGATTTCAACCCCTTGCTCAATGCAGGAAATCAAATCAAAGTCTACCTGACAGATGATTCCTTAATTTTCTCTGCATCGGAGCACTCACCACATCCTGAAGTAATTGATTCCATTATTGTACTGCTCTAACATTTAGGAAGTTTTTCTTGATATTCAATCAAAATCTGGCTTCTTGTAACTTGAGCCCATTATCATGTGTCCTGCACTCTAGGATGATCGAGAACAGATCCTAGTCCTCCTCTGTACAACGATCTTTCAAGTATTTGAAGAGTGCTGTCATATCTCCCCTCAGTCTTTTAGTCTAAAGGCTAAACATACCCAGTTCTTTGTCTTTCTTCATAGGGCTTGGTTTCTAGTCCCTGATCATCCTTGTTGAGCCTCCTCTGAACTTGCTCCAGCTTGTCAACATCCTTCTTAAAATGTGGTGTCCAGGACTGGACACAGCACTCAAAATGTGACCTAACCAGTGCCAAATAGAGGGGAATTAGTACTTCATTGAATTTGGAGACTATATTCATCCAGCCCAACATAGCTTTTGCCTTTTTTGCAGTCACATCACACTGTTGGTTCAGATTGTGGCCTATAATAATTCCAAGATCCTTCTTACATGCTGTATTTTTGACCCAAATATCTCCCATCTTGTAACAGTGCATTTGGTTTCTTTTTCCTAGGTACAGAACTTTGCGGTTATCCCTGTCAAATGTAATTCTGTTGTTTTCAGCCCAGTGCTCCAGCCTTTCAAGATCTTTTTGAATTTTGTTCCTGTCTTCCAGGGCATTATTTATTCCACACAATTTTGTGTAATCTGCAAATTTGATAAGCACTCATAAGCACTCATCCAAATAATAAAAATGTTGAAGAGCCTTATGGTCCCCCATTTGTAACCTCCTCAGTATAAGAATGAGTGATTGATAATCACTCTTTAAGTACAATTCTGTAACTAACTGTGTATCCACTTGATAGTTGTTATATACAGCCAACACCTAGTTACTTTGCTAATCAGAATATCATTGGGCACTTTGTTAAAAGCTTTCGAGAAATCAAGAAATATTATGTCTGCAACACTCCCACTATCTATCAGGGAGGTTACCTAATCAAAAAATGAGATAAGATTAGTCTGGCAAGATTTGTTCTTGACAAATCCATGCTGGCTTCTAGTTATTACTGCATTGCTGTCAAGCTGCTTGCAGAGTGCTTTATACTCTACTCCAGATTTTTCCCTGAGATTGATGTCAGGTTGACTGGTCTGTAGTTCCCAGGTTCTTTTTTGCCCTTTTTGGAGACAGACGACATTATTCTGCACTCATTTGGCACTTCACCTATACTCCATAATTTCAAGAAAACAATAGACAGTGGTTATGGGAGTTCTTCAGCCAATTCTTTCCATATGCTTGGATGCAGCTCATCTGGCCCTGGAAGATCTGAATTTGTTCAAAGTAATAAGGTTCCTTTACTATTTGTTTATCAGTCTTAAACTGCAATCCTGTCCCCTCGCCTTGTACTTCACATTTGCCAGCAGGGTCATAAATTGTCTTTTGGTAAAATACTGAGCTGAAGTAGGCATTCAGTACTTCTGCCTTTTCTTTGTCATCTGTTACCATTTTCCTGTCCACACTGAGTAGCTGAGCTATTTATTTTTTCTGCATTTTGCTATGCATGTACCTAAAGAATGAAGCTTTGTTGTTGTTTTTTTTGTTTTTTGGTTGCTTTTATACTGTTTTGTTGCTCTTACTAACCTCAGCTCATTGTTAGCCTTCCTAGTGCAATTTTTTTTGCTACCTGTCTTTGTGGCTTGGCCTTTTTTTCCATTTCCTATGAGAGTCCTTTTTTTGTTTTGTTGTGAAGCCACATTGGTCTTTTTTGCCGTTTACCCTAGCAAATATTTCATTTTAATATGTATGTGGATTAGGGCTGCCTGGCTGAGCCCTCTCTGTGGTAGAGGTTTGCAGGCAGGAAAACCATGTGCTGAGAAAACCTCAGGCCATGTTGATATGAACACACACTGCGGATCTTTTGGTGCATCTTTATTTTCATTCTGAAAGAAGTGGGCAGACAGCAATTAACAAAAAAGAATATGCATTCCAAATGAAAGAAAGCAGTGCAGTGTATGATGCTCATGCATCACTTGATCTTACATGAAGTGTGAGACAATGCTGTTCCAGAAAAATGAACAGAGCTGTCCATGTATATGAGGAGAAAGTGGTTGTCTGTAAAAGTCCCATGCAGTTAAACTACAGCTAAGGTGGTACTGCTAAACAAATGTCTCTGAGAGATGTATCTGTTCTGAATATATGATAAGCAATGAGCCAGTTCATTATAAGCGCTTCTAGTTATGATGGTTCCAATATTTAACTATTTAGATTTTCCAGACCTCCCACAAAAGAAAACGGTACCCCAGAGACTGACTGTGACTTTCATATTGTTTTTATAATCGAAGTCTGCAAACTGGTTATGATGGGATGCCCACTGTCTCCACTCTAATCTCATGGTTAAAGTGGCACAATATACCCTGTTTTTCCAATGTGCTTAACAGTTTCATTTAATGCTGTTGGGAGAAGCTCAAAATGACTGTGCTCATTTCCCTTGTTAGCAGAAGTGTTTGCTTCCTTTCTACCATATATAGGAGCAACAAAGATGAAATGGTTCTCTTTTGGCTGGGGGGGGGGCAGGAAGCAGCTTCAATTAAGGATGTGGTTTAAAAGCATGGACATTTGCCATTGCCCAACAGAAAAATCACTAGGAGGTTAGGGAGAAAAAGAGATTAACTTTTCTTCTTATCTGAACACAAAATGCCAATTGTGAAACCACATCAGTTACAAGACAA